GAGGAGCCGCGCAGCGCCCTGTGCCGCGGCCGGCAGCTTTGTTACAGCTTGCAGAAAGTTTGGGATGTTGTTGGGTTTTGTGGGGGGTTTTTGGTTGGTTGGTTGTTTTTAAATGATCGTTATTTTCTTGATTTTTGCTTTGTTTCTTTTTTCGCTTAGTTGCTCATCCCTGCTTTTCTGGCCCCGTCCCTTCCTTGCTGTGCTACCTGGCACCTAGTGTGCCTTTGTTTCTTGTAGCCTCAGTTTTGCCTCGCTTTCCTGAAGCTTCTGCAAAACAACCTGCAGGATGTATCTTAACAGTCTGGGGCTAGCAAAACAAGAAGTTACTGTGGTAATTGCTCAGTGATATTTTGAAAAAAAATGCTACTTTTTTTTTGTTGTTCTGTTTTTTTTTCTTCTAGATTATTTATGCAAACCTGAAGACAACATTTACAACATTGACTTCACAAGATTTAAGATCCGGGACCTTGAAACTGGAACAGTGCTGTTTGAAATTGCAAAGCCATCTGCTTCAGGTGTGTCATGCTAACATTGGAGGGAGGGTAGAGAGACCCAGGGAGCTGAGAAGTTGCACTGCAGGAGCCATGCAAACCAAGCAGAAAAGTCTCAGTATGTCCTGGTGACTAAATTCCTCTCCTTCAAGCATAGGACTGAGTTTACCTATGCTGAGAAGCTTGTCATAAAAGTGTGATTATTGTGAGATGAGGAGGGGCTATCAACTGCAGATCTTCCTTTGCTGGCTGGTTATGGTACAGAGTTTCTTTCATGTGCTTTGGCTATTGCAAGGGGGGATATCCTGTGAGGTTGAGGGTGGTTTCAGCTCCAGATCTGCAAGGCAGTGCCTCCTGCCAAAGCAGTTCTTTATTACTTAGTGCCAGTATGAGCCTCAGACCAATTATTAAACTCCTTTCAGCTCAGTCCCACCTTTCAACTCAAGCTGTAGCCAGTTTGTCCTGATACACCCACTAGCACCTTAGGTGTACACTGTTAGCAGAATAACTCTGGGCTGTTGCGTTTTGTAGAGCACAACGAGGAGGATGAAGATGACAGCAGTGAGCTGGACACGAGTGCAGGCCGCTTTGTTCGCTACCAGTTCACCCCAGCGTTTCTCCGACTTCGGACTGTGGGTGCAACGTGAGTATGATTTCACAGAAAGAAGGGAGAATCAGGTGTTTACAAAGTGTCACTTGACAGCGTGTAACAAATCTGAGCCCAAGACTACAGAGAACCTATCTTGCACAACAAATATCAGTCTGTCTGGAATATCTTTTGGATTCTTGTGTAGCCCTGGGTCCAAGGCATTGTTTTTCCCAATAGGAAGAGAGGTTTGTTTTAACTGTATTTTCCTGCTTTTTGCATACAGAGTGGAATTCACAGTGGGAGAAAAGCCAGTATCAAACTTCCGGATGATCGAGAGGCATTACTTCCGAGATCGCTTGCTGAAGAACTTCGACTTTGATTTTGGCTTCTGCATCCCCAGTAGCAGGAACACATGTGAACACATCTATGAATTCCCTCAGCTCTCAGAAGACCTTAGTAAGTGTCTCCTTTCCCCACAGTGAGTTATGTTTTGTTTGTGTGTCTGCATATGCTCATTTTCCTTCCTCTCTCTACTTGTGAAAGAAGCTGTGACTGGGATGAAGGGGGCAAGAATAGATAGTTGCAGGCTCCTGGTCTAAGCTGCATGTAATCTTGACTGAACTACAGCTTTGTGCTGCAAATTCTTCTTTGAAAATGAAAGCCTAAGACAACCTGTGTTGTCAAGTCGCAGACTGCAAGAACTGATCAGGGTCACAAGGCTGACCTGCCTGATGCCTAACAGTGTATCTCAGAAGATAACAAAACCCTGAAAAAGGGCTCTGTTGGTAGCCACACATCTCTTTTCAGCACTTGCTTGTTATGGCCTGAGCCTCCTGCTTTGGAACAGAGTTGGCTCTTCTCAGAGAGGTGTGTTTTTGAGCCAACCAAGAACTCTGCAAATACACGTTGCACAGGGTATGTTTGACCTCAGGGGGTGGATAGAGCAGGAACATGTGGGCTTGCCAGTGGCTGCCTGGGTGCAGGAGGAGGTGCAGAGTTTGTACCCTGCCTGTCTACTTGTGGGGAGTGCCACCACTTTTTCATCTGCAAATTGCTACCTCTCTGCTTACAGATGTGATTGCTGCTCTGCTCTAGTGGTGGCTCTGACAGTTTGTAAGGCTGTTTTGTGTGAGATCACTCCATCCCCATTTGTTTGCTTTTGACACCATTTGTCCTGTGAATAGGAAGAGCAGGGTGGGGCAGGCCAGAGCTTTTGGATCATGCTCAGCTGAGTGGTTTGCTTCTCCTACTTGGGTAGGACAGGCCACCAGCTTGGTAAACCCAGCAGAGTGGCAGAGTCCTTTCCACTCTCTGTGCTGGCCAGTGCAGTGTAGCAGGCTCTGGAATGTAACTGAGCTTTCTCTTTCACAGTCCGTCTGATGGTTGAAAATCCATACGAGACCCGCTCAGACAGCTTCTACTTTGTGGACAACAAGTTGATTATGCACAACAAGGCTGACTATGCCTACAACGGAGGACAGTAACCATTCTGTGTCTGTTGGATGCTGTGATGCTGTTACCCATTCCAGGAGAGGACTGGAGTTGCTGTCTCGTGCAACAAGGCTTTTTGCCAAGCCTTTTCTCCTTGAATGAAGCTGAAAACATGAAGCAAAGACAACAGCTCGTGGCAGCAAAGGAAATCTCCCTGCAACGCTTTTCTGACACTCTACGTATCCTGCCTCTCATTCTCTGTTTCTGATCACCTTCTGGTACCTTGGTTAGGTCACGGATCAGAGGCACTGCTAGTAAATTCTTGCTGTTACAGACTTTATAGTTAGGTTGCACTTTTAGTGCCTCTGATGTTTCATATGTTGGGTGACTACCCTCTTTCAGGAGGTCAGATTGTTTGGGTAGGCTATATCTTAGCAGGAAATTTTCCCCCTTCAAGTAGCCAGTGAAGCCCAAAGAGCAGATCTCTTCTTCAGTTGGATAGATCATCTTTTTAGTGCACAGTGGTTTAGTTTGTAGTATGGCTGACCTTGCTTTTTAGGGTGCATCCCAATATTCTCCAGGAGAAAAGATAAAATAAGGAACTAATTTAACTTCTAAGCAGTGCAGGAACCTTCCTTCTGCCTCCAGGGGCCTGAGCTGCCCCCTAGAACAGCTTGATCTGTGTCTAGTCAGAGATTTCACTGGAGATACAAGACAGGGGAAAAAAGGGGCTTTATCCAGGTTGGTCATTGAGTCAGTCTGATAGTATTTCTGAGCTCATGAGAGCAAAATGTCAAATTTTGAGCTGAGTGGTCAATCTTAGAGCTGAAGTTAGTCTTGCTATATTTACCATTTCTCCTCCTTCCCTTTATGTAGGAATTTTGGCTCTTGCTGGAGAACGTATTGCATTTTAGGTTCACAGTATATTGTCAGTCTGGCTGTGGTGGAGCAGAGGCATCGGTCTAGTGGGGCTTAGACTAAAAGAATGTGGAAAATCATTTAAAAAATGTGTAGGAAGCAGAGCTTCCTAGGCTTCAATCTCTTTATACTTTTAAACCTGAATGATCTGTCAGAGGTGCTGGAAGGAGACACAGTGGCATTATCAGCTCATTTGCTTTGTTTCCATTGAGGTATTAGTAGCTAAAAGCTTCCCAGGTCAAATCACTCATTGTTACAGAGTGGGATTCTCACAGCATGAGAATTGACACAGTTTTTTTAGTTGAGCTCCCATCACTGCTTTGTCTGCTTAGCTGCTTGTTTATGGTTTAGGAAGTTCTGCTGAGTTAGTCACTGCCAGACCAGAGGATGTATTTCAGAGCTGGGTTTGGGATCTGGCGATAGGAAATAGCATAATGCAGAGGGGAGGGGAGACCCATGTCTTTCCAGCTCCTGATCATGCAAAATCTCAGCTAAAAAAACCTTTTTCTGTCTTATTTCACTGGCTCCCAAGACTGGTATGTTTCCTGCCCCCTCACTGACTAGACTAGAGGCATGCTAGTATTGGTTCCACTTGTTCCTTGAGACAGTTGCAGTCCAACTCCTTGGTGGATACAGCTGGTTATCTGCTGCGTTAAGTAAGATTTGGTGTAGTTTATGTTTTAGCAAGATAAAGTGCAGTGGGGATCACAGCCTGGAGGCAGTTCATGCACAGACAGCAATAGAAACCACTGCCCTTACCTCACAGATTAATGATGTTAACTTTGGCGTAGAAGATGAGCTGGCATCAGGGCAAGTAGTGAGAGTATGTGGGGTGGCAGCCCTGAAAGAATTTCCAGCTCTTGGGAAGGTATTTAATTATGATTAACCACAACAAATGACCTGTTCTGGGTGGAGCATTAATCTTGAGCCAACCACAACAAATGTCTTGGGAATGTGGAGGGGCAAGGTCTGCCTGGTTGAAAAATGAAGGATAGTTCTGCCACCATCGGTCCCCTCCAGCATCTCCAAAGGCAAACTTGTTTATATGTCAAAATTAGTTAAAGCTGCTAAGGTGGAGCTTGAGATGTCTCTTGCAGTGATTGTCTTCAGAAGGCCTTGTGCCATGATGGTGAGGTGGGAAGCATTTATTTTGATGGAATCACAGGTAGTTGCTTAGGCCAAGGCAGAACTTCTGGAAATGTGTTTATAATCCTGAAGTGTTCTGAGATGCTCAGCATAGTGTCTGAAGAGCCTGCTAGTGATTGCCTGGGAAGTTTTAACATATTGAGCTGAATTTATGTAGTATAAATCCAGGTGCCTTTTAAATATTCCTGTTCTCACATTTTTTGTATGAAGCAACCTCTTGCTTTTCTTAAGAGTGTGGTGATTCCCATCTGTTTTCCATGTCACTGCATAGATTCATAAAAGGAAGATACTGTTGCCAGAATGAGCAACAGAAATACGGGCAAATACCAATTTGTGTGAGCCTTTGGCAGCAGCCAGATAGCAGCTCTGCTCGGCTGGGGTGTGTGTAGGGCTGTGGGTGCCATCTAGCAGCTGCTTGGCAGAAGGCAGCCCAGTGTTAGGCATTTGGTGCTTACGGGACGGTGGATTCCAGCCTTACCTCTGCCAGCAGTCATGAGGAAAAAAGCCTTGAAGCAGTTGCTTTCCCATCGGTGAATGTATCAGCTCTTCAGCAACAAGAAAAACTGGAGGCAGATTTGAAAGGCTTGCAGGCAGCAGTGGCATCCCTCAGTTTCTAGCTGAATTTGTTTGCTAGATTAGAAGGTCTTTGCCCAAAAAGTGTGCTGCAGGGGAAAAAAAAAAAGCCTTACAAGAGGACAATGCAGCACTGAAAAAGTTGATCGTAATCCAAAAAGTCAGGGATTTCCAAACTCCTATCCCCACTTTGGCCGCTTCCCTAAGATTCCTTTTCTCTTAGATGCTTTTTATAAAGTGTTGTCTCTATGTGGCAGGGATGATGTCTTTGGTAAATGTGGATTGTGTGCTCTGCTGCTTTAATCATGGGTCAAACCTACCCGTATCAGTGAGCTAGGAAGAAATTCCAATGGGATCTCATCCTTGTGGCATGGATGCTCCATCCTTGCTATGTGCTGAACACAAGGGAGATGCTTTCAGTGTCAGTTAAACTGTGGGCAAGGGAAGAGGGATCTGCACAGACAGCTTCTCTCAGGTCATGTGCTGAGTTGGAAAGAGAGGAGAGCTGGGATGGATCATATTGTGTTCTGCTATAACAAAAAAGGGACCAAACCCATGAACTCCTGTTAAATCTTTCCAGTATTTGTCCTTCTAGGACCAGGACCTCTTTTTCACATTTTTGAGGCAAGTGCTTTGAATCCATGCAAGCAAGCTTCCCAGACAGCTATTTCCATGATTGACTGAGAGATATGTATTGCACCTTGTGAAGGAAGGTCATCTCTTGTAGCATGGACTGGGTACCTCTTTCCCTGTCCTGTTTTTGTTAGGAAGTGTCTTCCTTTTTTTATTTTCCTTAGGATTTTCAGTGTCTCTTGCTGCAGAGAACCAGCAGCAGCCTCCACTCTGGTGCTTGAGGATGCTTATTCTGCTTTTCTGAGTGTTCAGGAAGAATAAAACAAGTGTTAAGGAGGCAGAAGTGAATGAGGGAGGTGGTGATGGTGAAGCAGAAGGGTCCAAACATGATAACTCCTCAGCTCTGTGCTTCATGACAGCCTCTTCAGCTGCTTCCCAGAGTTTGCCTTCTGCCCGGCTGCCCTGTCACATCCAGCCACCGTGCCCTGTGCTCCCCCAGCGTGTCCCAGTGTGGGGTGCAGCCCTCGGACTCCAACACTGCCCTCTCCCCGGCGCTGGACCCTGCGGACACGGCGGAGGGACGGCTCTTTCTCCGCAGCACAGGCACTACAAGCACCAGCAGACGCCAGGACAGTTTCTCTCACAGTGTGGCCTTTGGGCTCCCCGCTGCCCCTCCGGGCGCTCCTCTGTCACGGGG